TTTTCTCATTCACAAATGTGACATTTTGTCTTTTATAATTATCTTCATTAGAATGATATAATAAGAATAGCTCAGGTGAGTAAATTTAAAAGATTTAAGTCTTCGTTTGGAAAGAGTTAAAATCACTTTGCTTGGTTCCCATTTTTTAAAAACAGTTTTCAAAAAATTTTACATTCTTATTTTTCGTGTTTTTTTATTTTTACTGAATTTTTTTAATATTTTATGCAATTTTTTTACTTTTTAGACATACCTAACATAAATACACCTAAAAAGTAAAAAAATTATAAAAAAAATCTTTTAAAAATTCACTAAATACCAAAAATACAAAAAAAAAATACAAGAATTTAATACATTTTTTTATATTTTTATGTATTTCTTAATTTTTAAAAATATTTTTTCACAATTTTTTTACTTTTTAGACACATCTAAGTAAGGTGTATCTAAAAAAGTAAAAAAAAAAATGTTTAAAATTTTAAAAATATTCACTAAAAACAAAAAAATACGAAAATCAAAAAACTCAGTTTTCAAAAAACTTAATCCAGAAAACTCAAACCAAACACAGTGAATAGTTTGATTTTTTGATTTTTTTAACTATTTTAGCTTGACTTTTTTAGTTTCGTTTGGTTTTTTTTTTTTGCTATTTTGACTTTTGTGAGAGAAAAAAATATAGTAATTATTGTTTAGATGTGATATTTTGTCTTATTAACTTATATATAACCAATTTTATCTCTCGTACTTTTTTAACCAAAAAACCAAAACCAAACATAGCTTATTAGCTTTTATTGGTTTGTATCCAACAGTACAAGTGTTATATGATCACCTCAAGATTATTGTTATACTAATGCTGTGTTTGGTTAGGGGATTTGGGAAGGGATTTGGAAAGGGAAATGGAAAAGGTAGGTTTCGTTTGGTTTTTTTTTTTTGCTATTTTGACTTTTGTGAGAGAAAAAAATATAGTAATTATTGTTTAGATGTGATATTTTGTCTTATTAACTTATATACAACCAATTTTATCTCTTGTACTTTTTTAACCAAAAAACCAAAACCAAACATAGCTTATTAGCTTTTATTGGTTTGTATCCAACAGTACAAGTGTTATATGATCACCTCAAGATTATTGTTATACTTAGAACTTATGGAACCTTTTTCGTTATCCTCTTTTGGTTGAATGGATGGACAAACTATCCAACATGCCATCTAGTACAGGAGGTTATAGATAAATTTGAAAAAAATACAAATAAGTGGTGTTTTTATAAAATAATTCTAAATTTATAAAAAAAAATTAAAATTTTAATTATTAATGTTCATAAAGTTTTAACCGATCTGAAATTATTTTTAAAATTTTACACCGAATAGTAATTGTCCCAATAAATTTTGTTCGCTCATAATTACCCATAAATCCCATTAAAGTCACTAAATTCGAATATAAAACCTTAAAAATTTAGCCAAAATTAGACTTCTTATGTTTAACCCATTAACATTGAACCACTTGGGCAGATTACCTTCTTTTTATTAAAATAATTTTATATGCACTAACATTCTTATTGAAAATTTTATTAAAGACACAATAAGTCAAATATGATTAATTATAAAAAAAATACAATAAATCTTGAATAGTTAATAATATTTAGACATATGCTTTTAATAGGGTTGTATTGAGCCATGGTTTGGCTAACATTTCAGAGCTAAATAATCACAAAAGCACAAAATAAATTATATAAGTTAATAAGACAAAATATAACTTTTTATCTATAATCATTATACTTTTTTCTTACAAAAGTAAAAAAAAAAAAGAAAACTCTAAAACAAAAATCAAACGAGATTAAAAAAGTTTTAACACAAAAAAAATTGACTAAAAAAGCCAATACCAAACCAACCCTAAAATGTAACATTTATTATACATTCATATCACTGTTTGGTATTTTGCTATTCCGTTATTTACCTTTTCAACGTGGGTCATGCTTCAACATATATGGAGCTATCACTATCATTTGTACTCTTTCATATTTTATTCGCCAATTTCACCTGGGAAAAAATTGAGATCTCTTTTTTTCTTTAACTCCCATCATCCTTAGAGCATCTCCAATGGTAAATCAGATTTTTTATGAAATTTGAGTTAAAAATGACTCATTTCACCAAATCTGGTACCAGATGCTCCAACGGTTCACCTTTCACCAAATCTGTCTCGGGACAACCGGGTGGTCGACCGGTGAGTGAATTTTTTTTTTTTTGAATTGTCTGAACCATTTTTGTTGAACTTTCTGAACTTTTTCCGGGACAACCCGGTGGTCGATCGGTCGGTTGACCGGTTAGGGAAATTTTTTTTTGAACTGTTTGAACTTTTTTTTGAACTGTTTGAATCTTTTACTGGTTGACCGGTTGGTCAACCGGCCGGTCGACCGGTTGGTATCACCCCAACGGTCAGTAACAGTGATTTGGTGAAATGCTTCGTCTGTTCTCAGTTTAATGAAATGTTTGGTGAAATCTCATTTTGATATCGATTTGGTACAACCGTTGGAGCATCAAACAGTAACTTTTTCACCAAATTTTAAATTTGGTGCTGGGTTTGATGAACCGTTGGAGATGATCTTAATGTATTAGAATTGGTTAACTTTTTATTATTTATTTATTTATTTCCTTCTATCACTTTCTGACATATGTCCGTAAAGAATTGTGGGGGTCAAGAAAAAAGGGGCCTCTATCATTTCTATTTCACCCGCAAAGATGATTCAAACATTTGTCTTACAAGTCTAACAGTAAAGATGAGTTTTATATTTTATTTTTTTAAATCGACCATAATTATAAGTTAAAATTTAAATGATTTATTTTATAAAATAAAATTCAATTGTTCATCTATTTATCAATATTGGATAAAGCGGATTTTTTTGTAGAGATAATCTAGATTTACAAGATGACCCATTCAGATTATTATTGTGGGCTCCTAAACAGCTCAAATCATAATTATGGGCCCAAAGTGAGGCACACAAAATAAAATATTGAAGGATACGGAGAACAGTGGTATGAAAATTAGCCATTTCCAAATAAATTAAGGTCGAACCATTTTGGTGCTTAATAATGAGTTATTTTAACCATCTAAAAAAATAATAATAATGAGTTGTGTTATTGATGAGACTAATATATTATCAAATTAAAATTAATTATGTCTCAATTACTTGTTTTGAAAAATAGATTAAAAGATAATTTTTTAAAAAAAAAAATTGAAAAAATGTGTAAAAAAAATTAGAAAAATGATGTGACTCAAAAAAATTAAAAGCTAAAAAACTAAATTTTAACCTCTTGCCAAAAGAGTATAATATTTGGTTATATCTGATTGATTGTGACCTATTATAGTAATAGCTTTAGCTACAATTAAAGAAGAATTAAAGAAGTTTTCAATTGTTACTCAAATGAGTGTTAATTAAAGATGAGAAACATATGATATATATTTTAAAAAATTCAGAAAATATTTTTTTCTAATATATAAAAATTAACATATCAATTGTAAAAAAAAAAAAAAAAAAATTATAGTTTCGATCAACCGGCCGGACGATCGGCCGGACGTCCCGTTAGGCCAAATTTTGAAAAAAAAAATTGAAAAACGCGTCTGTCAAAACAGAAAATCGCGCCTCAGACAGGGTTTTTCTGCAGAGTTTTGGAAACATCATTTGAGAACTCTAACCAAACACCATACTTGAATTAAGGTGTGGAATCGTGATTTGAAATCACAACCAAACAGAGCTTTACATTTTTAAATAATAGCATTTGATTGCAATTTTAAATTATAAAATAAGAGTGAGATTTTGTTGAAGGTATAATTTGTAACATTTTCAATTAATTTAAAATCTTTAAATACATATAAAGAAAAGACTCTCATATATTTTGTCATAATTATAACTTTTAAAGACATTTTAGATATTTGTACAATAAACAACCTCACAAATTATATAATCTATAACATTTTTTTATTTTATAAATTACCTACCGGGTTTGAATTCCCTGACCATCCAAACAGTTCTCAAGTTGGATCCCTTATCAAAAACTATACCAAACATGCCTATAAAATGTATCGTTTGCCAAGGAAGTTTGGGACTATTTTAGCTATAAAAGATAAAATAGGCTATTTTAGTAACAATAAATAAAACATCACATTCAACTTATAATCATTACACTATTCTCTCACAAAAAAATTAAAAAAATCAAAAAGTCAAAAAATTCTTTCCAAATCAAACTTTTTAACCCTGACTAAAATAGTCAAAAAAAATTAAAAAATTAAAAAATCAATCCACTTTCCAAACGGAGGCGAAGCCCCTTCAATCTAAAGAGTTATAATAAGAAACATGCCATAAAGGTTCATGTATTATTATTAAGGAGCTGGCTCCTCACCAGAGAGTTCGGTGCCTTAATCCGGACCTTGTTGGTAATCTAAATTGTTTAATGAATAAAATTCGTTAATCATATTATTCTTATAAAAAATTATGTTAATTCAATATTGATAACTATTTGATCGGATTATATTTTATATTTGAAAATACAATTTAATCAAATAGTCATTGATATCTAATTAACGTAATCTTTTGTAATAAAAAAATATACCCAACAGATTGAAAAACAATTTGGATTATTAACATGAATCCCGATTAAGGCCTACCAATACCAAACTGTCTGGAGAGGAGCCAAGGTCCATAAATATTAGCCCTCGTTTGGCAAGAAAAAGTTTGGGACTTTTTTGTTAAAATAGTTATAAAATGACAAATTACATTAAAAAAATTAATAAGATAAAATGTTACATCTAAATTATAATTATTTTATTTTTTCTCTTACAAAAATTAAAAAATCAAAAAGTCCATCATATACAAAACTTTTTAACTCCGACTAAAATAACTAAAACTAAAAAATCAAAAAATTAACTCGCATTCTAAATCAACCCTTAGTAGACTCTGAAATTATTTGGTGGTTATTAAAATACACCTTTTTTATATAACCTTTTTAAAATACTAATATAAAATGATTAAAAAGGTAAAACATTTATAGATTAATACCAATAATAATAAACAAAACATAAATTAGCTGTGAAGAGCATAATAATAACTGTAACTTGTAGGCTAATATTAGGCCTAGTGCTTGTGAATGAAATGAGTGACCTGAGAAATCAACTCCCCAGATTCCGGCAATTCAGGGAAAATGTAGAAAGCATGAATCATGTTAGGGTACTCCACCAGGTGGACGTCTTTGCCGGAGTTCTTGAGCCAGTTGTAGTACCTCCTCTGCCACTCCTGCAACGCGTCGAACCCTCCCACAAATACCATCGTCGCCGGAAACCTCTCCACCGCCGCTATCTTCGCCGCTCTCGGCCCGCTCACGTTTATAGCCTCGTGATCCCTCCCCACCCACTCCTCCTCCGGTATGAACGCCTTCCACAGCCAGTCTGTTCTCTTCATCGACACTAGCTGCGATAGCCTCGTCTCCGGCTCTGTCCTCTCTTCTCCGCCGAAGAACGGTTGTATCGCCACCAGCCCCACCACCTTCATTTCACAAAACAAAATTAGCGATTTTCAGAATTTGTTCAAAGATTTGGTCCATTCATTTGCTTGAATTTTGATTTGATACACATTTGAGCACAATTTTAACTAATAATTTTCTATCAAATTTCATCAATTAAGAAGAAATATTATGCGATGCAAATGCTGTGTCGTGGATCTATTGTTTGATTTTCATGCCTTCAATTTCTGGAAATTTGATTCCGCGGCTCGATACGCGACGTGATGAGCGAGATTGGCGCCGGCGCTGTCGCCGGCGAGGAAGCACCGAGAGAGGTCTGCGTTTTCCGGTAGGACTTGAGATTTGTTGTCGTCGAGGAATTTGAGGACGTCGAAACCGTCGTCGTATTGAGCAGGGTAGCGGTGTTCGGGAGCGAGGCGGTAGTTGACGGAGACGACAATGGCAGGGACTTTGCGGGCGAATCGGCGGCAGACGGCGTCGTAGGCCTTGGAGTCGGCGGTGAGGTAGACGAATCCGCCGCCGTGGAAGAAGACGATGACGGGGAGCGTTTGGTCGGGATTGGTGGGGACGAAGAGGCGGAACCAGAGGTTGCGAGAGGGATCGGCGGTGATGTCGGAGGTTTCGACGCCGTTGATGGGGTTGGGGTTAGGGGGAGCTTTGAAGTTAAAGAAGCCGAGGAGGCGCCGGTTGACGGTGCCATCGCGGCGTTGAGAGGCATCGGTGGCGGCGCAGAGGATAGAAACGGTTAATCGGGTCTTCCATGGAAGCGATGGCGATTTTTGAGCTATATTGGTCACCTCCATAACGCTTGTTTGTGTTTGCGTGAGAGAGAGAGAGAGATGCTTGATGGAGAGAAAGTGGAGGGTAATATATGCGAGCAAGGATCCTCTAGAGTGATTTTTTTCTAAAGTTTTTTAGAGTGTTACATTGTGTGGTTGAGATTTACTGGCAAGTCACATCAATTTTAGCACTCTAGGAAACTTTAGAAAAAAATCACTCTAGAGGATCCTGGGTGAATATATGCAACCAAAAAAAAATGAAAAAAGTATAAAGTGCAATGACGAGCACAATATTGTTGGTCTTGATGACTACCACCTAATGTCTCAACGGTATCGGGTTTGGTAAAAAAAGTGTGACTTATAAATGCGTGACTCATAAGTATGTGTTAAGCAGTTGAAAAATATAAAAAATATAATAAATTATAAAATACACGGTTCAATTCATTGTAATGGAACTTTTGGTAAGGCACAACCATGTATGTTATGTTTTGATAAACTGAATAATGGAGGGATTGTAATGAAGTAGATTATGGGATTGTTTTGGATGATCTAAATAAGTATATTTTTTATTTTTTTATGAAAAGATGTACAGAAAAGTAGAGAGATGATGTGATTGAAAAAAGATAAAAAGATAAAAAATGTGTACTTATTTAAGATGGTCAAACTTGGCCTAATAGTCTTGCAATATATAATTTTTGGACTATTTGGTTATAAGTAATATGTATTTTATGTTTGTATTCTCATAGAATTAAATGTTTAGAAATAATTATTTTAATGAATCTCATGTTTGATTTGAAAATTATAAAGTATATTATTTAAATTATTTATAATGTCAGTGCTGGCTTTTTAATTTTTTTAACTTTTAAAAAATATATATGTAAAAAATATGAGAGATGATGTGATTCAAAATAAGTTAAAAATTGAAAAATGGTTTTTACGGATTGTTTGAGATGATCTAAATAAGTGCACTTTTTCACTTTTTACGAAAAAATATGAAATATGGATTGAGTTTGAAGTGATGTGGTAAAGAGATGATGTGATTTAAATAAAATGATATAACTTAAATAGGATAGTGATTTGACTTTTTTAAATTATGTCAAACTAGGCCTTAACCATCTTCTCAAAATAGCCATAAGATTTGAAATATAGTTTATTTTATTTCATTTATATTTAAAATATATTTTATTTTATTTTACAGAGACTGATTTTAATTTTATTTAAGTACGACATCAGAAGTATATTTTCATTTATGATTTTGCTAATGCAAAAAAAGAAAAGTAGAAGAAAACTATTATATATCATGAGATTAATTTACACCTATTTAAAAAAATTCAATATGTTTTTTAAAAACAAAATATTAAAAAAATGAAAAAAATATGAAAAGTTATTAGTTAATTCAGATGTTGGTTCAGTCCGTCCATTTATGTCCCACACCTCCATGGGATTAAGTTATCACACATATAGGGAATTGTTAGTCCGACCTTCACTTTTTCAACTAAACATTAGATTATCCATTTTGTTAGACATATAATTTAATCCAATGCCCTAATCCCATCAAACAAACCCCTTGGGCCTCGTTTAGGAGCATGTTATTTTAGTCAGTTTTTGAATTTTTGACTAAAATATGAAGTAAAAAAATTAATATGTTTGAGATGACATTTTTACTTTTTACGAAAAGATATGTAAAAAGTAAAGAGAAAATGAAATTTTTACTTTTTTGATATAAATTGTTAGTTTTTTTTAGTTCTGTAGTGACTTTTTGACTTTTAGGTCAAAAAGTGATGTAGCAGCCAAATGTAAAATTTCATTGTTTAAAGTGTCATAGAAAAAATGACAATGGAGATGTTCTAATTGCTTTATTTTAGTATAATTTATTGTGAGTTAAAAATTAATAATCAAAAAGTAATAGTTTAAAATATCTCTCACCCAATTTTTAGATAATTAATCATTTCAACTTATTTAAGTTATCTTTAAATAATAATTGTAAACAAAAATTATAACAAACAATCTATTACAAACTTTCAAAAAGAAAAAAATATATATATAAATAATTCAAATAAACTACACCATATAGTTAAAATGAAGCTTTGAGAGAATAGTTAGCAACTTGAAAAAGAATAGTGATTTTTTCAAGTTCTAAATCTAAATTTGATCAATGTTAAGTTTTATTTAAAAACATTTGTCGTTCATTTTTTTAAAGACCAATGCAACAAAAATAACATGGTACAATTATCAGATAAATCTATTTCTTAAAAAATAATATACATAAAAATCTTTACAAAATGAAGAATTCATATTCTTAAATTAAAACTTATATAGTAAGTCTTACCGGTCCTAAAAAAGATGTATATTATAGGAAAACTTATATGAGGGTCTATAAAAAATAAAAAATTAATAAAATTGTATTATAGGAAAACTTATATAGTGTCTCACAGGCCTTAAAAAAAAATTATATTATAAGAAAATATACAGATCTTCTCCAGTAATTGGGGATGCTGCTCGATATTTGTAGGCGCTGATTCGGGTTTATAGTGATAATTTAAACCATTTAGGCTCCGTTTGACAAGAGTTAAACGGGATTTTTTTAGTTATTTTAGTCACAAAAGATAAAATAGGTTATTTCAGTCACAAAAAATAAAATATCACATCCAACCCATAATCATTACTTTTTTCTCTCACAAAAAAAGTCAAAAAAATCAAAAAGCCAAAAAGCCCTTCCCAAACCAAACTTTTTAGCCTAGGCTAAAATAGCCTAAAAAACCAAAAAGCCAACCCACTTTCCAAACGGAGGCTTAATATGTAATATTTGTTCAATACATTATCTTTAGAAAAAAATCACGTTAATTTGTTATCGATAATTAATTGATGAGATCATATTTCAAAATAATTTTCAAATTATGATAAAAATATGATCTGATCAAATAATTATCGATATCCGATTAATATATTTTTTTACAAAATAATATATTTAACAAATTTTACACATTAAATAATTTAAATTACCATCATGGCCCGAATCGAAGCCCCACGATTGCTAAATAGCAAGGGATTATTTAAAATGATTAAATAAATGTACTTTTAACTTTTTTTTAAAAAAATATAAAAAAAAATTAAAAAGATAATATGATTAAAAAACAATAAAAAAAACATACTTATACAGTACACTACAAACAAAACTTGAAATGAGCTGTATCCTATGGGAAATGGGTGTGAGTGTTGGAAAAATTGGTTTATTAGGATTATTTTGGGTCGATTTTGAGCCTAAAATTGAATAGGTCCTGAACGTCTTTTGGGGCGGATCCGAAGAGGTGAAGTGTTCCTTGCCACGTGGCAAGTCACACAGTGAAGACGGTTCGTCAAAACCATTTATAAGTGAATGGGAACATGACGTCGTTTTCGGGTTCGTGGAATTGAACATTTAAGTTTTAAATGTGGGTTTCCTTATGAGGCTTGTCCCACATTGAAACTTTAAGAGAGTTTTGTTGAGTTTATAAGCTCTAGCCTACAACACTTGGGTTGGACCCTAAGGGGCACCCAAGTTTGTAGAAGGGAGCAGTGATGGACAAAGTGAACCTTAGCCCAAACCACCACACGCGCGCCGCCGTCTGTTCGGGCACGGGTGTGGGTGGTGGGTCGGTTCTAATATTAATGTTTTGGACAAAATTCATTTGAATTTTTTCAAAAATTATAACGGGAATTTAATTCAAATTTGAATTTAAATTTTTGTCCAAATAAACTTTTTCCTGTCTAAATATTCCACAACAGATTTTCAATTCAAATAGGTTTTCTAATTGTTTAAAATCGGACAGATTCTTAACTGTCTGAACAGATTCAATCTGGACAGTTTTGTTCCAACCTGTTTGAATTTTGAATGATATCTGTTCATTTAAAAAATGCACATGTTCAAGTAGGGCTGAGCAAGAAATTCGTAAAATCCGTAATCCGATTCAGTCCAGTCCAATCCGATAGGTTTGGATTGGTTTTTTGAATCCATGGTTTGGTTCCGGATTGAAGAATTAAAAATCCGTAGTCCACGGATTGGCTCCGGATTGAACCCCACGGTTCCGGATTGGAACCGATCCGGACCGTATACAAATAGTCTATATTTTTATTATACATCCTCCCCCATAGTAACTTCTCTTATTCTATATAAAATCTAAACTCAAACCTAAACCTCGTATAATATCTTCTTTTATTACTTTTGTTTTTTAGTTTTTAGTTTTAATTTGTAATGGTCTAAATACTTATGGTGAAATCAGTTTTTTTATGATTGTTTAAATTCTAAAACATTATGTCGCTATTATAGAAAAACATGTTGCTATTGTAGAACTAATATAGCGCTATGTTTTTATTTTTATAAAATTAAAGTGTTATATATATATATATATATTTTTGTTATTTAATTATGTGAATCCATGGTCCTAAACCGATCCAATCCGTGTTGAAATGGATTGGTTCGGATTGGTTCCAAGATTTAATCGGATCGGATTGGTTCCGATTTTTCAGGAACCGTAGATAACGGATTGGTCCTGATTTTATCCCAATCCGGTCCAATCCGAACCATGCTCACCCCTATGTTCAAGTTAATTACATACCTGTTCGGGTCTATTTATACTAAACTTGTTCCAGCAGTTTTTTGGTTGGAAAAACACATCCTAAATTCTGTCCAGAGGTGTTACGACCCCATTCCGCCCCTAGTAGAATGGTGTCGTGATGGCCAGTAATCCGAGATTATCAAAGGCCAACTTGCAAAAATTCGCACACAAATCAGAGTGTACATATGGGGCTTACAAGTGCGGAAGCAATATATTTAAATCTACTTAGTCCATAAGAGCTGTGCGTAGATCAAATGAAATGACATATATCTTAATAAAGTTTGCAACTTGGATACAATAAAATAAAGTACAAAATATATCTTGATCAAAAGCCTTCTCAAGCCGACATAACAAAATCCATGAAATACAAAGCCAAGAAGTATGATCTTCAAGATGCTACAAAAAATGCGAATCCAAAACAAGTTGCAATTAATCATCTAGGCGTCGCCGCCTTCTTGTTCATCACCTACATATATATAAGAGAA